GCACGCAACGCCATCGAGCGGGGTGCCCGGGCCCTGGTGGTCAACGTGGACGGCCTGGACGCGGCGCAACACGAGGTCTTCACCAGGAACTTCTCGAGGGCGCTGCTGGAGAGGCCCTTGGTGGTGCTGCTGCCCGAACAGGCGGAGGACCTGCACCATATGATCAAGTGAGTGAAGGGGTGGGGGGTGGTTGGGGGTGAGGGGGTGGGATGGGGGGGAGGGTGGAGAGGGGATGGGGGGTGAATGGGGAGGGGAGGTGGGAGTGAATGGGGGTGGGGGGTAGGGTGGAGAGGGGATGGGTGGGTGAATGGGGGAGGGTGGCTATGGGAGTGAGGAGGGGTGGGGGAAGGGGGGGAGGGGAGGGGAGGTAGGGGTGAATGGGGGATAGGGTGGATAGGGGATGGGGGGGGTGAATGGGGGGAGGGGGAGGGTGGGTATGAGAGTGAGGAGGGGGGGGTAGGGGGGAGAGGGGATGGGTGGGTGAATGGGGGAGGGTGGCTATGGGAGTGAAGGGGGAGGGTGTGGGGGAAGTGGGGGGGGGAGACTAAGTATGGGGGAAGGGTAGGTTAATGGGGTAGGGGGGAAGCTGGGTTGGGGGGAGGATGGGGGAAGAGTCTGTGTGTGTGTGGGGGGGGGGGGGGTTAACATTCCTAACAAGTATGGGAATGGAGTGGTTATGGGATAGGGGGGTGGGGGGAGAGGGGAGAGGGGAGAGAGGAATAACACGACGGGGTATGTAGGAGATATTAGGAATGGGGGGTGGGGGGTGGGGGGGAGGAGAGAGATGGGGCATAAGCTATAGGATGTGTGGGTATGTGTAGGTGGGCGTGGGAGGCATGAGATTAGATTAGGGATTAGGGATTATCCTAGAATGATGAGTGGGTGTGAGGAGAATAGGGGGGGGGGGGAGGGGGGGGTTGTTGGAGAGGGACAGAGAGGGTGGGGGTGTATGGGGATGGGGGTTAGGATGGGGAGGATAGCGTATGAAGGGGAGAGGAGGGGGGGAGAGGTATGGGGAAGGGCCTAATGGTTTGTTTGTTTGTTTGTTTTTTTATCTGAATGGGGGGATGGGTTTAGTTTAAGGAGTTGGGGAAGTGAGTGTAAGAATGGGGTTTAGGAGAGGATAGAGGTTGGGGAAGGGGTTAGAGGTTGGGGGAAGGTTGGGGAGAGGATCGGGGGAGAGAAGGATGGGTGTGGGGGTAACATGTTCATCTATGGTTGTGGGTTTGTACGTGTGGGAGGAGCTAGAATGGGGAATACTGGGGGGTAGGATGGGGAGTGGGGAAGGGGTGGGGAGTTGAGAGGGGGATGGGGAGTGGGGAAGGGGTGGGGAGTTGAGAGGGGGATGGGGAGTGGGGAAGGGGGTGGGGAGTTGAGAGGGGGATGGGGAGTGGGGAAGGGGTGGGGAGTGAGAGGGGGATGGGAAGGGGGGAAGGGGTGGGGAGTTGAGAGGGGGATGGGGAGTGGGGAAGGGGTGGGGAGTTGAGAGGGGGATGGGGAGTGGGGGTGGGTGTAGCTGTGTACGAGGGGGAAGAGAGGGGGTGAATGTTTTGGGTGTGGAATAGATAGATAGACGGAGGTAGATAGATACATTTAGACTGGATATACTGATAGATAAATAAATAACAAACCCCCAGCCCTCGTCTTTCCCCCACCCCCAACATTTCCCCCCCCTACCCTCCCTAGTCCCCCCCCCCCAAGTCACATCCCCAACATTTCCTTCATTTTTTTTTGGCCAATCCTCATCCCTTTTGCCTCCCCAACGCTTCTCTCTTTTCCCCCAACCCCCCTCCCCTTTATATATATATATATGTTTATCCTCCCTGCCCCTATCCCCAAACCCACCCAACACCCCCTCCCCTCCTTCTCTCCCCCTCCCCCCCATAAAAATATATACCCCCCCAAAAAAACAACAACAAAACAACTACTCCAAAACCAAAAAAACTAAATGAAAATCAAAAGAAATCTAATCCATCTCTCTCTTCTCTCCCCCTCCCCCCCTACCCTCTACCCCCCACTCCTCTCCCCCAACCCCCCCTCTCCCCCAACCCCCTACCCCTCCCTCTCCCCCAACCCCCTCCCTCCAACCCCCCTTACCCCCCCCACCAGCGTCTACAAGGACCTCAACGTGGAGATCGAGATGCCGCCCGTCCGAGACTACTTCGACTTGGGCATTTTCCTCACCTGCTTCCTCCTCATCTGCCTCGTCTGCCTCGCCATCGTCGTCAAGATGAGGTGGAGGAGGAATAACAAGCAGGTCAGTCGTGTTTTTTTTGTTTTTTGTTTTTGTTTGTGTGGGAAGGAGGGTTTGTTTTGTTTTGTTTGGTAGATGGTTGGGTTTGTTTTGTTTTGTTTGGCAGATGGTGGGGTTTGTTTGTGAGGGAGATGGTGGGGTTTGTATGGGAAGGGGGATGGTGGGGTTTGTTTGTTTGTTTGTTTAGGAGGGTGGGTTTGTTTGTTTATTTGGCAGATGGTGGGTTTGTTTGTTTATTTGGCAGAT